GAAAACAGAAAAAACTGAAATTATATTAAGTCCTAAAAGCAGTGGACGGAATCATGCAAAATTCTTCAGAGCGTCTTTATTGTTCCTTTCAATGGAAAACTGTAGGAAATCAGCCTACTGTAACCTATCTGTCACCTGATTGAATGAGTTGGACAAATGTTAAACTACGCTATTGCCTGACTGATCGGAGGGTATGTTAGATACAGGAATTATTACCTCCATTCTGGCCACAGGCGACAGTCAACCTTTAGTCGTCGCGTGTCTCGGACCCGTTGTCCCGACTTTTCTTGTCATATATCATTTAGTAAGAAACAAAGGATAAAAACCTGTCAGTTTCATACATATGAAGAAAGATTATTATTCAGTTTAGGTCCACTTTTTCCTAATTGAACAGCTGCGCACAGCTTACAAATGCCAATTTGCCATGCAAACGCCTTGTTCGACTCTGAGTTTTATCGCCGGAAGATTGTAAAGAACCTGGAGACACTTTTAAGAAAGTTAATTGAGATAAGGTAGGATTTGAAGATTATTTTCTTAAAAAAATTACATCGGCCAAAATCTTGTCTTTGGAAAGGGTAGAGGTTCGGTCACTTCAGTTAAGTCGCGTGGTCTTTTTCGCTTTTTCTTCATTTACTCGCTTTTAATTGCAAAGTTTGTTATGTCTCATCGTGTGCAGTGCAAGCAAGTTGGATGTTATTGTTAATTTATTGCGAGAACGCCTGAAAGCTACAGCGTCTGAAATTAGCACCAAGAAAACATTGAAAGGACAACAAGATGATATTGAAAAACACATTTATAATCTTAACTTGTTTAATACAATTTTACCAGTCATGAAAACAGATAAACTGAAATTAAATTAAATAGAATAGGAAAAATGGTAAGGTTTGAGTCGGTAAACGTGGACTCAGATTTTTTTATTTGTCCAACGCTCGTGACAAGACGAAAAACATCTTTCTCTGTAATAAAACTGTTTACTAAATGAATTTGACAGAATTATGCAAAATTCTTCAGAGCGTCTTTGTTGCTCCTTTCAATGGAAAAATGCAGCAAATTACCCAAGTGTAACTTAACTGTCACCTTTTTTAATGGTTGGACAAATTTTAAACGACGTTATTGCCTAACCGATCGGAGGGTATGTTAGAGACAGAAATTCTTAATTCTTGATTATTATTCATCTCGCAATCGACTATTTCCTTATTAAACAGCTGCACAAAGCTCATAAAATGCCAATTTTTGCTATGCAAATGCCTCATACGATTCTGAGTTTCATCGGCAGAAGATTATAAAGAACCTGAGGGGGCTTTTTAGAAATTTACTGGAAATGAGGTAGACTTTGAAGAATATTTTCTTAAGAAATTGCTCTTAATCTTTTTCAATGTTTCTAAAACGGAGTTCTCCCTAAATTCTAGTGAGAACTGATGGTAAGGTGAATTTGCGATAGAGGAGGGTTCTCCAATACATCTAAATTGGGTCGATTTATTTGAGGCTGTGTGAATTATAAAAATAACTTAAAACTTCATGTCACTCAGGTGACATGAGGTCAAGGAAACCCAACTTTTTTTGTATGTAGATCAACGTCTTCTGTAGCATGAATGTACCAAAAATTTAAAAGGAAAACTACTTCAAAAAGTGGAGTGCTTTAACAGCTACAGCTGATATCTTCGGGCGATCGAAGTAAAATGTGTGATAAAGAAAAATGGGTTCAGACATTCGACACTTGTTTGTATGAAACCATGTCTGAAGGTAAAAAATGAGAACCAGAA